GTTTTCATCTACCTATACTAAATTTGACCTCACAGACTGGCATAAAATAAAAATGAAAAAGTATTTTAATCAAAGTAACATTTAAGGGCATAAGGACATAGCATTTGAGTACCAAAAATAAGCCAGGTATTATTATTTGATGCTTTATAGACATAACTCATTTCATACTCGTAACAATATTGCGAGGAAGTGATAAAAAATAAAGCAGTAATAAATCATAATTTAACAATATAGCAGTTACACGTATTGGGTCCTTACTAGGGGTCAGGTCATGTATTAAATACTTCAGACACATTTCTAGTACCATTATTATGCCCGTTTTACAGATGAGTAGGTGGAGGCTCAGAGAGGTTAAGTGAGATTTCCCTGAGGTCACAGAGCCTGTAAGTAGCAGAGCTGGGCACTTCACCTTAAAGATTTTTTATTTTATATCTTTAAGAAAGAATACTGGGAAATGTTAGCGCATGTTCAAGAGCGTCGGGAATGATTTCTTTCCAAGATTCTTGATCAGAGGGAATTGGGTCAGCAAGTGGTTGCAAAGGGAGTCTGTTGTATGCATCTGACTTGGAAGAAGGAAACACTGATAGGACAGTGAGTTCCTTGGCTTCCTCATCCAGACTGTGCGTGTCAGTGCTTACGTCCCCTCCTTCTTGGCCAGTAGCTCGGTCCCTAGGCAGATTAAGTTGTTAGAAGGGTGATGGTCAGTCAGAGATCACAGATGTGCCAAAGATGGCCTTTAAGAAGGCTCAGTGTCCACAACTGGATTCTCCATTGCGGCCAACTCCATGACATGCCTCTGCCTTTTCTAGGCTGCCTCTAGAAAGTTCCCTTGGTGGTAGCTTTCGTCCCCATTTCAGCATCGGGCTTCGTTGATTTGTGGGGAGAATTTGCAAATGTGCAGAGATCTTGTACTGTTTGTTTCTAAGGCACAGTTTCAGAAGAAAATGGCATTTTTATAGCCTGCATTAATGGGAAATTACCTTCCATTAGGATTCTGAATGATTTGCACATAATGTTTATAGAGCGAAGGAAAAATGTCAAGCATTTCACTAACAATTGAAAGCAAAGCTCACAGGACTCTGCCAGAAGTGAACTCCAAGAACATTTTCTTCATCATTTCTTCTTTCGAAAGAAAAAAAAGGGAGATGAAAGGACATAGATCAATTAGGCAGAATCCGTTGTGGGACTGAGATGGAATCTTTGATAATATCATTTCTAGGTACTTAGGAGAATGAATGAAGTGAGCCAGAAATGGAGAAGGGGTGGTGGTGGGAGCGTTGGAAATCACATCTTGAAATGATGGATTGCAGACAAAAATCCAAGTTTAGGCCCTGGCTAGGAGAAACCACCGCCTGTCCAAGCCCCTGAGTGTGGGGTCATGACGCCTCAGCAGCGTGTGCTGCCTCTGTGTCCCCAAAGAGAAAGGGAGGCCAAGAAAAGTCTTCGTGCTAAAATGCGTGCCTGGGTCGTTCCCAGAAAACCCTTGGTTTTGAGGAAAATAGTGTAGGAGCTTGTGACCTATGCTCAAGTATCTTCCCTACCCTGGGTAAGTTATCACTTGCTGAATTCTAAAGGTAAAGACTAGAAGACAGAGTATCTTCTACATTTTTTTAATCAACTCATTTCTTTGTGAAGGTTTTCATTTTCACTGCTGTTCTTAAAGAGGACACCACTTTATATAATCACAGCTGAGGGTTAATATGGACCAAACTGAGACGGACGTTAAGAATGTGGAAGGCTGAGATGAGTGAACAAATGTGGTTTCCAAATGTGTGCTACAGGCATTTCAGAGCGAGGCAAAATAAATCTCTCAAATGGCTTATATTAAGACATTCTAACTCCCTGTAGGTACAAAGAGACTTTTATAAATTCCTTCACACTTCTGAGGGGGCTTGGATATAATGTTTAGAGCCTAAGTCGTTCCCCTCATCGGAGTGAAATCTCTAGGATTACATGAGAAAATAAACATTTATTCAAAAGTAAAGTGTGAAGTGTGAAACTTAAAGAAGACGAGCACTCTGTAAATAGAAATAGATGTATTTTTAACCTAAATTTCCAAAGAGGAAATTAAAATTTCACACAGCAGTGACAATGATGATTGCTCAGTCAGCAGCTATTTTTCATTTTTTGTCTTCTGTCCTTTCCACTTTTTTCTTGTTTTTTTTTTCCCCCCTGCCACCAGCCCTCCCCCAATATCCATTTCTGTATATGATCGGTAGTGGTTCAGAGTCAGAGTTATAGACAAAGAGAAATAAGCAAAAAACAGGAGCCCCACGTTGGAATTCAGACTCTGGCACTCATTCGCTGTGTGACTTTGGGAAGAGTTTCTAAACATCTCTAGACTGATTTCTACTTGTCCCTAAATGAAGTGATTGGACTTAATACATTCCAAGTTTCCTTGCCAGCTGTAAATTCTGTGGCTGCAATAGTTATCTTTTCTGAGTGCTCAGCATTCGTAAAAATTTGAAAAGTGCAGATTGAACATTTTTATATTTTCTGTATTTTAAAAAATATTATTAAAAATTAAAATGTGAACTCTGATGAGTATTGTTGATCAGTAGCCATCGATGTGCGAAAGGGGAAGAGTCCTTGTTTTATTTTTCATCTCAAGGAAGCTTTAGAGAGAAAGGTTTTCTCGCTGCAGGGAATGGTTTCCTGTAACTCTTCTAAGTAGTCTGCAAAAAGAGTTTTTGAAAAGCCTGTAGGACGTAATTTCTAACTTAGTTGTAGGAATTTTAATACTTCTTGGCTGAAATGGTTATATTGTCTCAAATGCGTATTTAAAAATCTTAGTATATGTTCTACAATGGTATGCTTGGTGTTTAAGCTAAAATTTAAAATACCGTTATCTAAATAGTAAAAAAAATAGCCAGTAGAAGTCAGTTTCCAGGGATTACAAACAGGGCAGCCATGCACCACAATTCCAGAGGACTTTTCGTTTGAATCCTGGACTTGTTTGTGATACCTCCTGGGCTTGTCGAGTGGGTGTGGCCTCAGGTGCAAACCCTAATGCCAGATCATGGGAATGAGAGACGTAGGAAAGTGTAAGAAAACAGTGCCAGGCCAGTGAAAGATGTCTGACGACAGACCGCCAAGTCAGGAGCACCACAGGCAGAGGAGTCGGTAGCCACCTAGAGAACACTTGCCCTGTCCAAACAGCAGCTGCTTGTTGCCTGAGAACGTGGACCTAGGATAGCCAGCCTTTATGATTTTCCAAGAGAAGCCAGAAATCATATATTTATGTGCAATCTCCTTATTTTTAAAATCTTGTCAACTAATCCACACTGTACAAAGCAAGGAGCAGGCCAAGCAAAACACCATCTGCAAACTGATCCGCATGCCAGTGGCCAGGAAGCCACCTCTGATTAAGGCTGTCATTTGTCTTCCCTTTTTCCTTAGTTCAGAGTGGCAGAGCCAACCCACAAGCACTGGACCTGGCTGTAGTCGAGGAGTCACCTCCCAGGAAACTTTGTTAAGTAAATGGGCCGTGGCTTCTGAGAAATCTGCAAAAGTCATCTCCGTACACAAGGGAAAGCTTTGTGAGGGGGGTGGGCACAAACTTTACTAGTTCAACCCATCTCATATAACCTGTGTAAGTGGTGGAGGATTGGTATCAAGGTAAAAACAAATTACACATGCTTATTTTTATAGATTGTAATGATTAAGCTTGAGTTCCATTGACAAGTCATTTTAATAAATCACATCTCCTATGGATAAATACAGAGTTCTTATTTCTAGAAAGGTAGTTCATAGACTTTTACTAGACTTTACTTACTAGCTTATTACTTAACTGTCTTAGCTTGAGCTGCTATAATGAATACTAGACTGAGGGGCTTAAAACAACAAACATTTATTTCTCACAGTTCTGAAGTTTGGGAAGTTCAAGATCAAGGTGCCAGCAGATTCGGTGTCCGGTGAGGGCCCTCTTCCTGGTTTGCAGATGGCTGTCTTCTCGTTGTGTCTGTACACAGGGTGGCCCTAACCCCATTCATGAGGGCTCCACCCTCATGACCCTGTCACCTCCCAAAGTCCCCACCTCCAAATACCACCACTTTGGGGATTAGGACTTCAACATCTGAATATTGGGGGGACACAAGCATTCAGTCCATAGCATTGACCATAGATTAATACTTAAAATTTTCAGGTAAGGAAATCAGGGCCCAGAGGTGACCTAACCCAGAGCTAGAACCCAGGGATCTGAAGTTTTTGTCCCATATGTTCTTACCAAATGGACAAAAATAGTACTTACAGATGTTGAACAAAATGGGTTTTGTGGTATTTATCAGAGTTATATACCAGTGCTTTGTCTGGGTCAGCTCAAGGAAAAGTGTTAGCTTCAAAAAAATTTTTGCTACAAGAGCTTGAGATTTTAGATAGGAAAAAAAAATGACACCTTTTGAAGGGAACTTGAACCAGATATGCTCTTTCTAATTCAAGAGAGATGGGGTCTAATATGTTGGGCATGGTGCCTGGCCCATAGTGCACACTCGGTGTTTGAGAATGAGTGTGACCAGAAATAGACTCAAAAGTTCCAAGTTAGTGTTTTTGCCCCAACACGTTAAGAGATGAACTCTCTAGTTAGATGGTACAGGTATAGTAAGTCTCAGGGTGATTGCCGATTTTACCTGTTCTCAGGTACCTTCCTCTCTGTTCCTTAGCTGCCCCTGGGTAGCAGAAGTCATGGAAATACCTCTGCATTCCAAATTTGAGACCAGGAAGTGAGCAGAAAACAAGCTCACCCAGCCAAGATAGGTGTCACCTGTCTTGGTGACAGTGGGCTTTGGAGTCAGAGGAAGGGCCAAATTCCGGCTCTCACCTCTGGGTCAAAATTCTGTCATCAAAAGAACAGGAAGTATCACCCCAACTGCATAGGGTTATTCTAAGGATTAAATTAGATCACATAAATAAGAGGTGCTGGGCACGCGCGGTACTTGCTGCAGAGCAAGAGCCCACGACACAGCAGCTGTTAATGTTACATAATTGGTTATCTGATTTCCCAGCCTACAGCAGACTGGAAGCAGCAGATTAGAAAGGCCTTGGGGACTGCTTTCGGAAGGCCCACTGTCGGCAGGAAAAAGTGACAGGTCGCAGCCTGACTACAAGGGAGGCAAGAGAAAAACTATAAAAAGCAGGAACAAAAACTCAAAAGGCACAGCCGTCTGGGGCATTTACTAAAAGACAAAGAGCCCTCCTCAGGTCAGTAGCTTCCGTAGACTCCATACCTTGTACCCTGATAGGCACTCATGCGGACAGCAGTTGTGTGAATTTTCCTTCTCTCTCCAGCCCCTTCCCCACCCCAACCCCCAAAATAGGGGTGGGGGTTGTAGCTTGCTTTTCAGTTGGGATGCTCTGACCAAATGCTTCCAGGTAACGAAATCCACAAAGTCAGGGCCAGCAGAGAAGAGAGTACAGTGGGCTCCTTTGGTGATCTGGAAATTAGCCAAGTTCAAGTACAGCAAAAGAGCTGTGATTTTTAGTGCTATGGAGAGAAGAATGTCCCCTGCCCCACTGACCACTCCTACCTCCACCTTTATCTCCTTCAAAGTCAGGATGAGAAACACAGCCTTGGAGAACAGGCTCCCAGGTCCTGGCACATGGCAGAGAGAGAGAGGGGGAGGGAGCACAGGAGACGGCTGGGCTGCAGAAGCGCCAGCCTTATCTGATGCCACCTCCACTCTAGTGTCTCATCCACCACCTGGAGTAGACACCTGTTTTTGTTTGGTTATTATTATTATTTTTTGATTGAAGCCTGAGTTGCTCACTTTGAAGCAGCACAGAGAATAAATACCTGAAGGACATCCCTCAAGTGATGGGCAGGGCGAGCTGGGATGTGGGCAGGCCTTCCAGGATCAGAGAAGGATTTAGGTGGAGGATGCTCCTAAAGAGCATTCCTCACACATCCCCCCAAAACGTTGTCTTTATTTATAGACTATATGGATCTAATCCTGAACTGTATTGTTGTATACATCAAAAAGACACACACACACACAAAATTAAACAAGATGAAGAACTGAGTCACACTCCACACAGACATAACGTTGAGTGAAACAAACGAGACACCAGAGTGCATACTGTATGATTCCATTAACGTTAAACTCAAAAAACAGACATAACTAATGTATAGCCTTAGGAGTCAGGCTAGTGATTGCCTTTGGGGGAGTACCGATTGGAGGAAAGGACATGACTGAGCTCTAAGATGCTGCTACAGTTTTATTTCTGGATCTTGATGCTAGCTGCACCGATGTTTCAGTTTGTGAAAATTCATTAAACTCTACACTTACGATATGTGCACTTATCTGTATATATTATACCTCATTAAAAAAGATTTTAAACAATATTTTTCTCAAAAACAATAATAAATAAAGAGCATCCCAAGGCACGGGAACTCCCGGAGCCTGCCCAGCTGAGGACCCACAGGCTCTTTCTAACCTAGGTGATGGACCATCCCCTTGGCTGGGGTTGGCTCAGAAACTGAGTGGGCGTAAACTCACCAGCCAGCAATTTTCAGAGTGGCTGCATGAAGTGGCGATCAAGAACACAGACTCGACCTAGATGGAGGTCAGATATCAGCCCTGCTGCTTAATTGCTTTGAACCTAGGTTTCCCCATCCATCAAATTGGGGGAAATAATGGTACCTCATCAAAGGGTTTCTCTGAGAATTAAATCTGCTAACAGCCACTTCGAATATTGTCCTGGCACTTGGTGTTCACTGAAAAACGGAGGGTTAGTATTTCATCCCCATAGCTGACTGGGACTGCAGAATTAATTCACTGTGGGGCTATCCTACCAGAATAAAGTGTGCCCAGCAATTCTGTACACGTGAGTAGCCCTTGGCAGCAGGGACTTCGGGAAACAAAAGGCGGGGGTGGGGAAGGGCATCCAAAGAATTTTCCTGCTGTTAAAACAAGAGGGGGCCCAATATTATTAAAAACCGGTCCACATTATTGCCAAGAGGGAAGTGAAATTTCTTTTAGGGTTTCCTGACCTATTGTGTGTTGCCGATGTAGTACTGACTGACCGGCCACCTTACAATTCTTGTGGTAGGGTCTCTCTCTTTTTTTTTTCTTCCCCAAATGGGGTGGAACAGAGCTTGAATAATAAATATTTAACAGGGACACTCCCTTTTCGCTGTTAAAATAATCTTTGTTTTAGTGCCTTAACAAGGAAGACTGGGTTGGGGTTTCGGCTGCCAGGAGCTCACGTGCACAAATTCTCAGCAGTTTCAGGTGCCAACTACCAAGCACGAGAAAGCATAGAGATGGAGGTGGTGGAGCAAGACCGCAGGGGAAAGGGGAGTGGGTGTTCAACACAGATGGGGTGCTGGGTAGGACCCCTCCTTTATTACGGGAAGATCTGGGCACTCAGGCACCTCGCCCACGTTTGTGCCTAGTCCAGTTTGAAAAGGTCTCACTGAGGACATGTCACCTTTTCTGCCTGCACTTTGGGGTTCCATCCGTGGTGACACTGACTTGTCTTTTGTGGAGAGGGAAAATTCACACACCGTCACGCAAATGGGCACAAGCTTGCTTTCTTTTTAACTGAACTTGCTTACGAGCCTCCGTTTAGACTGATGGCGGAAACAACTTAATCTTTTTTCCATTTCTACTGTTGGCAAAAAAAAAAAAAAAAAAAAATTTAATCTTTTTTCCATTTCTTCTAATGGTGGAAAAAAACGTAATCTTGCCATTTCAAGGTAATGCAGTCTCTTCCAATACAAAGTGCAGACTATCCATTTATTGCTTTGTCAATTCAGGATTTAAACCTAGTCATTCGGCTGAAATTTCCTGCAAGGACTCTTGGTTTTCCTCCAAGGTTCTCTCCTACCTCCTCCTGTACCCCGAGATGTTGCCTGGGTGCAGGGGGAGTTTAGAGAACATCACAGTGGCAGGTGGGGAAGCGTGTCAGGGGGTCTTAACTGCTTCCACAGCTGAGATAACTTGTCACTCCAGGTCCAGGCCTGGGTCCGGGGCCTGACTCTCTGCCTCTGGGTTGCTGGATCTCTGCATTCGGAGCCTGTGTACCCACCCCCAGGCCATCTCTGGTCCAGCTGCTCCTGCAGCACTTCCTCACTTCCTGCCGGGACTTGACACGTGTTCACAGTTCGAGGGGAGCCAAGGGCGGCCCCCTCAGACGCCGTCTCTGTTTAATGATACCACCCACCATTTCCACTGTGCTCAGTGCCCCCAAGTCTAGAGCACTTTGGGGGCCTGCCTTCCCCCACAGTTCCAGTGGGAAGTGGGGCTAAGACCCCCCACCCAGGGTGGAATCCAGGGAGCAGTTCAGCCTTCTTCCCTGCCCTCTTCTCTCACCAGCCCTCCTCCCTGACTCCAGAAAGGGCTCCTATCTCTTCTCTGGGTGGCAGGGAACAGCCCTTCCCTCCCCACAGCTTGTAATACAAACCTCTATGCTCTGGAGTTCTTCAAGCTCTGCTTCCTTGGAAGTAGAAGTCTCTCCGCCCCAGAAGTCCCCCACCCCCACCACTTCTCAAATCTCATAAAAGCCTACCTGGCTCTGGCACGAAAGCCTGAAAGCCTTGGCGTTCAGACCATTTCACAACTGAAATGGCATTATTTTGGAATTTACCAGCTAAACGTTGATTGCTCGCGTGCAGGTTCCACCTTCTCCCTAAAGTAAGGGCAGCCATGGCTACTTGGGTTGAGGGCCCCAGACGGCAAAAACGACCCAGCGTGACAAATGCATTGGACGATATCGGAGGATATTGTCCTGCTGAGGGTGTAGTTCAGGACAGCCAGACCAAGCTCTGCTGGGTGTGGATCTGCCGGGTGCCCGCACCGTTGAGACCTGTGTTCAGTGGGTGGAGGGGACGCAGCGCAGAGGTGGGGGAGAGCCCGGTGCTCGTGTCTTATTGCCTGAGTCAGGGAACTCTTGCCGTGGGGCTTTCCACTCAGGGGTTTCAGGAGAGATGCCATGTTTTGGGTTCATTTGCTGATGGAGTGTGATGTGAGTGCTTGGTCACTTCCCAGCTCTTAGGAAATCAAAGTGGGCGGTGTGGCAATGGTCCCTCGCCTGGAATAAATGAAGTGAGAAGTGAGTGATGTGTCTTACCCCCGATCTGTTCAGTGCATGTGTGCAGGGGGTGCACACGTATGCACACATAGGTGGTGGTTGGGATAAGTGCATGCCTGCCATTAATATTTATTTTAGTCATTGTAGGTAGCTTACAAAGTAAATGGGAGGGAAAAAAAAAAAAAAATATATATATATATATATATATATACACACACACACACACACACACACAATTAGCCCTGTAAGTCAGCATGATAGCCTGTGAAATTTCTTGGCAACCCTTAGCAGTGGCATAGATCACATAGGAGGTGACATCAGGAGGGTAGGTCATGGGCTGGGGTCTGGAGCCCTGGTGTCTCTTTCTGCCTTTGCCATTAGCTCTGAGGCCAGGCTGCTGTGACCTCGTCTTCAAAAAGAGGAGGGTTCACTGAAGACCACCAGAGACCCTTCTAGCATTGACATTTTGTGTTCAGGGAAATGCTTCCCAAGACCACTATGTGCTTTGGCACCTGACTCCGTCTCTGTTAAAAACTGACAGTGGGAGAAATGATAAAAGAATACTAATCATTTTAATAGACCACATGGAAACAGTTATTCATTAATAAAATTGACTTTGACTCAGAGGCTTGAATTGCTGCAGGGTTTCAGTGCCCAGCTCCCAGCCCCCCTGCCCACCCAGAGAGGAGCTGTATTTCCAAAGGAAAATGGAAAGTTCTGCTTGGAAACGCACAATTCCCCAATGTTTTGAAATCATTGAAGGTTATTCTGTTCATATTCAAGATCATGAACTGGGCCCCCTATTTAAACCCTTCTACTTCCCAATTACCATCATTATGACAAGAGGAATATACAGACTTGGGGTGGGATGGGGGCGTCTGTCATGGAAGGAGCCATCTACATGCTAGAAACATCAGGTAGATTCTAGAGATAATAGTGCAGGGGGCCCAGATTTTAAAATGCTGACCTACCTGGAAGCACCACCTGGGAAGGAGCTTCCCACCTGCAGAGGAAGAAGAACCTCCCCCCCCTCCCCCACCGACCCGCCACCACGCTCTTCCCTTTCCCCACGAGCTCCTTGACACTCCCGGGCTCTGGTCAAAGGAAATGGAGGGAAAGAGGGCCATGAGTCTGGTGGTTCGCAACCTCCTTTGGAAATTGGAAACACC